TCTATGTTAAACTTTATAATAAATTCATTTTAAAAAATTGTGTTTTTTAAAGTGACTTTCAGTACATGTTTGAATTATTAAGTTCACATAACACATTGGGATTATCTTAGAAAATATTTTTTATCCCTGAAAATAGTGAGAATTCTAATTTTGAGAATGGTTTATTTATCCTCATATTCATATACTTGTTTATAAAGAAAAGTCAGGGCCAAATTTATACACATAAAACTTATTAAATACATTTTTATTAGACAAACAGTTATAGTACCATTCTACAAATGACCTTTTATTAATCCTTCTACTTGCCATCTTTATCTTTTATTCTATATTAATCAGTGCAGATAAAGATTGTAAGAGCCTTCTAATTTTTATTACATCCATATTCTCTCTTAAGTGTTTGAAAATATAGGGACTTTTTTTTATTTTTTAATTCACTTTTAAACGTTAGATCACTATAATTTTAAGTACTATTGTAATTAAACAATAAATTTGGGATTTTGAATTTTTCATTACAGAGATACCATATATGTAAATATAGGTACTTACATGATAGTTTCTTTCTTCTTTAGGAATTGCCTGTGTATAGGCCAAGAAAGGCAGCATTATATAGTGGAAGGAGAGGAGATTTTAGCACTCAATACCTAGAATTTTATTCTAAAGTCTACTGCTATCTACAAGTACTTCCCTGTATGTTACGTTAGCTACTTTCCTTCTATAACATTGTGTTCTCTGAGTTCCCTTATAGCTTTGATAATTTTATCCTAGAAGAAATGTGATAATTGTTCTTAGTTTTTCCATTATCTGCATATGTAAATCAAGTTGATCGGTCAGAAAAGCTATTGCCAGTGTTTAATGACCTGACTTAAAGTTCTAGAAATTTTTTTAAATTTTAAATAGACTTCTATATTAGACCCAATTTAAAGTAGACTATGACCATCTCTAACTTCTAAAAATTCATAACTTTTCTTCTCTTTACATTAGTTCCATTGTATAATGTGACACTCTGAGATCATCACTTGGTAGAAAAGGACATTCTATTTTAATTCCATTTGGGTTGTATTAACCAAAGAAGATGATAATTAAAACAAGCAGTTGTGAGTTTCTCTTATACTATCAAGTAGTTAAATCACCTTACCTCAAATACTAGTTCCAGGGAAGTGATTCAGAACTTCTTTATTTTTCAGTAATCCTCCCCTGAGGATATTTTTTTAATTGATTTTTAGATAGAGTAGAAGGGAGGGAAAGAGAGAGAGAGAGAGAAAAACATTGATGTAAGAGAGAAACATCTATTGTCTCCCTCACAACCCCACAGGAATCGAACCTGCAACCCAGGTACATGCCCTTGACCAGGACTCAAACCCCGTGATCCTTCAGTCCTCAGGCCAATGCTCTAACTACTGAGCCAAACCAATCAACACAATTCTGAACTTCTTTAAATGTGTGCCCCCACCCCCCACCCCCTGCTTTTTTTATCCTTACTCGAGGACATTTTTGCATTTATCTTCAGATAGAGCAGGAAGGAGAGAGGGAGGAAGAGAGAGAAACATCAACGTGAGAGAGACACATCGACTGGCTGCCATCCACACAACCCCAACTGGGACTGGGACAAACCGCAACCAAGGTACATGCCCTTAGAGGGAACCAAACCTGGGACTCTCTGATCCATGGGGTGACGCTCTAACTGCTGAGCCAAACCAGCCAGGGCATGTGTGCCTTCTTTTGATGAGCCTAAAAACTATGGACACCCATACCTTATGGCAGGGTATAGGAATGCCCTTTGTCAAGGTCATGGTATTCTTTATATGTATCTTCTAGTCTAAACATTTTATCAATCTTTCTATAAATTTTGTAAATAATAGACTTTTTGTTTGTTTCCCAAATAAAAAATGATTAAATATGCATTTTCAAATGTAAGTGAAATACCATACCATCACTGTCCCAATTTGGGAATATGCAGTAAAAGAAAGGGAAGAAGGCAGAAATATGTATATAAAGTCAGAAGGCCATAGACATTCCCAAACAGGTCAGTGGGTAAGACAGAATTGTATGGAAGTTAGAAATCTGTCTTCTGACTAATATTTATATCCCTTTCCCTGTGTATATCAGCTAGGTCAGTAGTTTATTTTTCTGGGCATTGATTTAATAACCAAAATAAAACCAAAAGGTAAAATCTTCCTAATCTTTTAAAAATTATTTTATGCAAAAATTAATGTTGTACCTTAGTAGAGACACAAACACAGGCTGACAAATATCTTGAAATAACAACATCTAGCTACACAATCTCCCCTTCTTATGCCTCACCTACGTGGTTTCTATGGTCCCATAATACTGATAGTCCTGCATTCCCATCTCATCACCACACTAATCCAGACAGCAACCATACTGCCCAAGTTAATTCTGCATCTGCCATTCTTCCTCCTCTGATCCCCAGTTAAAAGGAATTCAGCATGCTTAGTGCTCCCCAGCCTTTTTAACACTTTACTAATTAATTATACCACAAAAAGAATATTCTCTCCACCTTCATTCCTCATTTCTTTCCTCTTTCTGCTTTCTTTAACTTAGGAAAAATTTACTTCTACTCTCACCATTTCATTTTTGAGCCAAATGGTAGTTAAGTAGTAGAAAAATAATATTGTTGGCATGCCATGGTAAGGGGAGAAATCTCTACCTTCCTATTTTCTCTTTTTTTTCCCCCCCTTTTTAAAATTATTTTCTATTATTTATTTAAATAAAACCCTCTCTCATTTCACAAGGGATTTAGGTCAACTGTCATCTGCCTTTTCATCTTTCTTAGTTAGCTTTCTTAGTTAAGTTAGATGAAAGTTATTTCCTGTTCATTATTATTGTGTTTGTAAATCCTCACCTGAAGATATTTTTTCATTGATTTTTGGAGAGGTAAGGGGATATCAATGTGAGAGAGACACATCGATTGGTTTCCAGGTCAGGGATCAAACCCCACAACTCTTCAGTGCATGTGCCGACGCTCCAACCACTGAGCCACACCGGCCAGGGCTTGTTTATTATTTAATAGTTTTGTTTTCATGGATAAGTTTTTAGAATAAGCACCTCATACTATTTCATAACATTCTTTTGGGGGGAAAACACTTTTGAGGTATATTTATTAAGTTGGGTCTTTTAGAAAGTATTTGACAAGATGGAAGATATGTCTGTCTACATTAGTATATTATATGACATAAAATTAAATTTTTTGAAATTTTTTTCACAGTGCTATGATTTGTCATGCCACTAAGAGGGCACAGGAATGAGTGAGCCTAGTTTCTATATTTATGCACACATACATGTAAAATTCCACAATATCCTACTCTTTTTTTTAAATCCTCACCCGAGGATATTTTTCCATTTATTTTCAGATGGAGTGGGAGGGGGGGGAGGGAGAGAGAAAGAGAAAAACACCAGTGTGAGAGAGACACATCGATTGGTTGCCACCTGCACAGCGCCGACCAGGGCAGGACAAACTGCAACCAAGGTATGTGCCCTTGACTGGCATTAAGCCTGTGACTCATTGGTGTGTGACTCATTGGTCCACAGGCTGACGCTCTAACCACTTAGCAAACTGGCCAGGGCAACATCCTACTCTTTTAATAAATAATTCCCCTTCCAAGATTTTTTAAAAATCTACTTCAGAGGTAGACATGTAGTTGTTTTGTTTTTGTTTTTTAATTTTTTTTTAATCCTCACCAAGGGATATTTTTCTATTTATCTTCAGATAGAGTGGGAGGGATAGAGAGAGAGAGAGAGAGAAAAAACATCAATGTGAGAGGGACACATCAACAGATTTCCTCCCACATGACCCTGACCAGGGCAGGGGACAACCACAACCGAGGTACCTGCCGTTGTTCAGAATTGAACCCACAATTCATTAGTCCACTGGCTGATGCTCTAACTGCTGAGCCAAACCAGCCAGGGCCATATAGTTGTTTATTTTTATGTGCATAAGCATTCTGTTGGTTTTAAATTAAAAAATTTTGGGAATAAGAACTGTACACTTAATCACTTAGGTTATATAAATCTAAAATTTCCAAGACTGAAATCTTGAAGGTTTTAGAAATATATACAATTGGGAAATTTATGCACAAATTTAGAATATATTTTTCTCTAAGTAGTGGTAATTTTTCTGCCTTAATGTTCTAAATATATGCATATTGACTCAACAGTTGCTATGGGATGAAATCTAATTCTTTGCATGCTAAATGTGATCCATAACATATATAGTAGTGTGTATTCTATTATTAAAAAAAATAATAAGTGGACTATATGGTATATGAATTATATCTCAAAGCTGTTAAACCAAGAAGAAAAAAAAAAGGAAATGCAACAGTAAATGATGATGATGGTGGTGGTGATGTTGACAGGTGTATAGTAACATTGTGGAGAATGGGGTGTAGGCCACCTAGAGATATAACTTCTATAAACTTATTGTTCCTATGGTATGGGTATTTGTAAAGCATGTCTTTATTAGAAGTTTTTATAACCTATGTCAGATTGAATCTATGCGGGACAGTTTTTAAGAGATATTGATATAATTTTAAGAACTTGAGGTAGATTCAGGTTCAAGTCATACGACCTTAAACAAATCATTTAATCTCTGTGAGTCTTAGTTTTATCATTTGTTAAGTAAGACTAAAATATACAGACTTCAGAAGGGTTTTCATACAGCTAGAGTGCAGGTGCACTATCATGTTCGCTCCAGCCCTCCTTCCCTCTCCCCATCTCCCTATATATGAATGCAGTGCTTTGGGTAATGCTTAGCAAATGGTGGGGCTGTCAGTAATTATTAACTCAGTGAAGCATTACAGTATTGAAAATAATGACCAATATATGAAATAAGATTTATTACAGGGTACTTCCCCCTTTCCGCAACCTTCTACAGAAAAGATATTTTATGGGTATTGGTGTTTTGGTTCTCACTCAGAAAATAAGGCTTGACATTCACTTTTAGATGAAATCTAAGGGGTTTACTTTTAAAATTGTGTTTTTAGGGCAAATGGTATCATCGGAGGCAAGCTGTAAAAGAATTGCATAGTACATTGATACGTCTTTTAAATGAATTGCTGCCATGGGAACCAAAGTTAATGAAAGCTTTTCAAAGAAACAGGTAATTCAAACTTTATAATTTGTTTTACTTATTTTAGGCTCTTAATTTATGATTTATGGGAAGATGTCATGGAATATTTATTCATTTTCTATTGATCTATACTTTAACAGATATTTTGAATGCCTCCTGTGTACAAGGGACTTCCTAAGCCCTGAAAAAATAGTGTTGATAAAACCCTTACTCTGTGACTTACATTCTTTTTCTTTATTGTAGTAAAATGCAAAAAATATAGCATCTTAACCAGTTTTAAGTGTGCAGTTTAGTAATATTAAGTAAATTTATAATGTTTTGTTACTATTACCTATCCATCTCAAGAACTAAAACTGAAACTTAACTTGATACCTATTAACTCCTCATTTTCCCTGCCCGCTAGCACTTAGTAACCACAGTTCTATATTTTGTCTCTCTAATTTTGACTACTATAATTTCTTATATAATATACAATATTTGTCTTTTTGTGATTGGTTTATTTCACTTAGAATAATGTTCTCAAGGTTCATCCATGTTGCAGCATATGTCAGAATTTTCTTCCTTTTTAAGGCTGAATATTATTCCATTGTATGCATCTACCACATTTTCCTTAGTGGACACTTAAGTGGCTTTCACGTTTTTAGCTATTATGAATAATGCTGCTATGAACATAGGTATGCAAATATCTCAGGATCCTGCTTTTAATTCTTTGTGTATATTCCCACAAGTGGGATTGCCAGATCATATAGTAATTCTACTTTTAATTTTTTTAGGAACTACTGTATTATTTTCCACAGTGCCTATACAATTTTACATTACCACCAACAGTGCACAAGGGTTCTAATTTCACTTTCTCAAGCAACATTTTCTAGTTTTGTATTTTTATAGTAGCTCTCTTAATGAGTATAAAGTGAGTGGTATGTTGTAGTTTTGACTTGCATTTTTCTAGTGATTAGTGAAACTGAATATCTTTTTGTGTGTTTATTGGCCATTTGTATATCTTTGGAGAAATGTTTATTCAAGTTTGTTTGTTTTTTTTTGCCAATTTTTGAGTCATCTTGTTTGTGTTTTTGTTGCTGAGTTTTAGGAATTCTTTATATATTCTGGCCATTAATCCTTTATTGGAGATAAGATTTATTAATATTTTCTCCCATCCTTGGGCTACCATATTACTTTGTTGATAGTGCCTTTAATGCACAAACTTTATAATTTTCGTAAAGTCTAACTTGTCTTTTTGTTGTTGTTGTTGTTGTTGTTGTTGCTGCTGCCTGTGTCTTTAGAGTTATGTTATATCCAAGAAATCATTGCCAAATCCAGTTTCACGAAGCTTTTTCCCTATGTTTTCTACTAAGAGACATTTAAGTCTTTGATCCATTTTGAGCCAACTTTTATACAGGGTGTTGGGAAGGTATCTAGCTTCATTCTTTTGTATGTGGATATCCACTTTCCCAGCACCAGTTGTTGAAAAGATTGTTCTTTCCTCATTGAATGGTCTTGGCACCCTTGTAAAAAGCTATGTGACCATGTAACAAAAGTTTTATTTCTAGACTCTGTTCTGTTCCATTGGCCTATATGTCTGTATTTATGCCAGTACCATACTGTTTTGATTATTGTACTTTTGTAGTAAGTTTTGAAATCAGGAAGTGTGAGTACTCCAGCTTTAGTGGGGTGTTTGTTTGTTTTGTTTTTGTTTTTCTAAGATTGCTTTGGCTATTTGGGGTCCCTTGAGTTTCTATATGAATTTTAAGATGGGCTTTCTATTTCTGCAGCAAACACCATTGGGATTTTGATAGGGATTGAATTGAATATATAAATTAATTTGGGTAGTATTGACATCTTTCAATATTAAGTCTTTCCACTACAAAGAATGAAAATTATAGGCCAATATCTCTGATGGACATAGATGAAAAATGCTCAACAAAATATTAGCGATCCGAATTCAGCAATACATTAAAAAGATCATACGCCATGATCAAGTGGGATTTCTTCCTGGGTTGCTAGGTTGGTACAATATCTGCAAATCAGTTAATGTGACACACCAAATAAACAAAATGGATAGAAGTCATATGATCATATCAATGGATGCAGAAGAAGCATTTTACAAGATCCTGTACCCATTTATAATAAAATCTCTCAGCACAGCGGGAATAGAGGGAACATATTTCAACATAATACAGGCCATGTATGACAAACCTGTAGTCAGTATCATACTCAGTGGGGAAAAACTGTTTTTCTTAAAATCAGGGATGTCCACTTTCACCACTCTTATTTAACGTAATACTGGAAGTCTTAGCCACAGCAGTTAGATAAGAGGAAGAAAATCAAAAGCATCCATATTGGAAAGGAAGAAGTAAAACTGTCGTTATTTACAGATGGCATGATACTGTATGTAGGGAACCCAAAAGATTCCACTAAAAATACACTAGAACTGATAAGTGAATTCAGTAAAGTAGTAGAATACAAAATACAGTGATACCTCGGTTCTCGAACGCCTCGGTTTTCGACCAAATGGAGATTCGAGAAACTTTTGTCTTGGAATCCGAACAAATATTTGGAACCCGAACTTCCGAGATGAGCCGAATGGCGTTCATTCGGCCCAGCGCACCTTGCTTGCGTCATCAGTGTGAGTGCAGAGAGAGAGTCACGCTTTGTGGAGTCACGCTTTCCTATTGGTTTCATTGCTTCGGTTCTCGAACAATTCGGTTCTCGACCGTCCTCCTGGAACGAATTATGTTCAAGAACCGAGGTATCACTGTAAATATTCATAAATTGGTTGCATTTTAATACACCAGTAATGAACTGTCAGAAATGGAAACTAAGAAAACAATCTCATTTACAGTTGCATCAAAAAAATAAATGCCTAGAAAAATTTTAACCAAGGAAGTAAAAGACTGATACTCAGAAAATGATAAGATAGTAAGGAAAGAAATTGAAGAAGATACAAAAAAAAATGGGCCCTGGCTGGTTTGACTCAGCAGTTAGAGCGTTGGCCTGCAGACCAATGAGTTGCAGGTTTGATTCTGGTCAGGAGCACATACCTTGGTTGTGGTTCATCCCCAGCCCCGGTTGGATCATACGGGAGGCAACCAGTCGATATGTCTCTCTCACATTGATGTTTCTCTTTCTCCCTCTCTTCCTCCCTCCCACTCTATCTGATGATAAATAGAAAAATATATCTGGTGAGGATTTAAAAAAAAAAAGGAAGCATATAGTTTATTCATGAATGGGAAGAAGTAACATCATTAAAATGTCCATACTCCTCAAAGCAGTCAGTAGATTCATTATAATTCCTATCAGAATACTTATGATATATTTGACAGAACTAGAACAAGTAATCCCAAAATTTATATGAAACCACAAAAGACCCTGAATAGCCACAGCAATCTTATGAGACAAAAAGTTGGATGTTATCACACTACCTGATATCAAACTAGATTACAAAGCTGTAGTAATCAAAACAGTATGGCACTGGCATAAAAGTAGACATATTGATCAATGGAACAGAATAGAGAGCTGAGAAATAAATCCATGCATAAACATTTCACAAAGGAGGCAAGAGCATATAATGAGGTAAAGATAGTCTATTCAATAAAAAGTGTTTGGAAAATTGGACAGATGCACGCAAAAAAGAAATGAAACTGCTTCAACTTCTTGCACCATATATAAGAATAAAGTCAAAATGGGTTAAAGACTTAAATGTAAGACTTGAAACCATAAAACTCGTAGAAGAAAACATAGGCAGTAAAATCTCTGACATTTCTCTTATCAGTATTTTTTTTTCCTGATACACCTCCTCATGCAAGGGAAACAAAAGAAAAATAAACAAACGGGACCACATCAAATTAAAAATGTCTTGTGCAGCAAAGGAAACCATCAGCAAAACAAAAAGACAACCTCCTGAATGGAAGAAAATATTCATCAATGATACATCTAATAAGGGATTAATATTCAAAATTATAAAGAACTCATACAACTCAATACACACCAAAAAAAGAAAAGAATCCAATTTAAAAATGGGCAAAGGGGCCCTGACTGGGTGACTCAGTCAGTTGGAGTGTCATCCCATACACCAAAAGATTGCAGGTTCAGTTCCCATCAGGACACATACCTAGGTTGCAGGTTCGATCACTGATCAGAGTGCATTCAGGAGGCAACCAGTTGATGTTTCTCTCTCGCATCAATTCTTTTTTCACTCACTCTCTTCCTCTGTCTTTAAAATCAATAAAAACATATCCTCAGATGAGGGTTAAAAATAATTATAATAATAATCAACATAGCCCTGGCTTGTTTGGCTTAGCCATTAGAGCGTTGGTTTGTGGACCAGAGAGTCCCAGGTTCAGTTCCTGATAAGGGCACGTACCTCAGTTGCAGTTTGTCCCCAGCCATGGTTAAGGTCGTGCAGAAGGCAGTCACTCGATGTGTCCCTTTCACGTCAATGTTTTTCTCTCTCTCGGTCTCTTCCTCTCTCTTTCTCCCACTCAATCTGAACAAAAATGGGAAAATGTCCTCTGGTGAGGATAAAAAAATATATATATATATAAAATCTTCCAGTCCATGAATATGTTTCCATTTATTTATATTTTCTTTTTTTAAATTATTTTTATTAATCTAGTTTTGTTGCAGATGTTTTTCCTTTTGCCCCCATTGACACCCTCCTCCCAATCCCCCCCACACCACTCCATCCCCAGCTTTGTTGTCTATGTCCTTCGGTTGTGCATACATACATGTATAAGTTCTGTGGTTTATCTCTTCCCTTCTCTCCCACCCCCTCTTCTGAGGCTTGTCAGTCTGTACCCTACTTCTATGTCTCTGGGTCTATTTTGTTCATCAGTTTGTTTTGTTCATTATATTCCACAAATAAGTGAGATCGTGTGATAGTTGTCTTTCTCTGCTTGGCTTGTTTCGCTTAGGATAATACTCTCCGGGTCCCTCCATGTCATCTCAGAAGATAAGAGATCTTTCTTTCTTTCTTTCTTTCTTTCTTTCTTTCTTTCTTTCTTTCTTTCTTTCTTTCTTTCTTTCTTTCTTTT